CCCCAAAACCCCAAAACCCCAAAACCCCAAAACCCCTAGACTCAATAAACTAATTAAAATCGGTAATTACAATAATTAATAAATAAAGCGCAATATATTAAATGGCAGAGCAATAAAACAATTAGCAGTAAGAGCTTGAGACTATTTCTGTGGCCTGGTCTAAGCATCTGAAACAAAACGACGACCTAGATTCAAATAAGACCTAAGTTTAAGGCTTTATTTCTAAGGAAAACCCAAAATAACAGCTTATTTATGCTAACAGCACTCTCAGGTAGGCATTTTTCGTCTTAATTTGCTGACTTACATTATTCATAATTGTATTTAGAGTTATTGATGTGACGAAAAGTCCTCTAATGATGGAGTAGGTGAAGTATAAGGACAAGGATTTGAGTTATAGTTCAATAAAGGGTGATTACCTAATCACTGGATACACATCTGCAAAGAAAAGTATGCTTGAACTCAAAAGAATCAAGCACAAAAACTCAAGTTTGACTACAGCCAGCAATAACTTTAACTCAGGAATTAATGGTCCAGTCTAGGATTATATTGCTTGCGAGTTGCCTGAGGGAACTGCAATCACAAAAGTTTAGATAGTCAAAACTGGAACTATAGATAATCCCACAGACATTGTGATTATTCTAAGGAGAAATTCCTGGATTATTGATATCAAGGAGTTGAAAGAGTGTGAAAACTAATTCTTACACATTAACTCACTGCATATAATGCAATGGGATGAAAATAGATAACCGATGATAATCGAAGACTTTAAGATTATTGAAGGAAGAATATTTCTTAACTTTGCTCATCTTCACATTTACCTGTTTGATGTAGCAGATTTGTTGAACTAAACTCAAGAGGAATTCGATACTTCAAGATGTAATCGCTTGGAAAGATTTTACATTAAGAATGAGTAAAATATATATAAGATCTAGAGTATAGACCTTATAATGTTTCAGCAAACACCTCTCTATGTAATAACCAAAGAATCCTAGGATCCATCAGCTTAACATTAACTTGAGATTTACAAAGCAGATTACATCCAGTAGGTCTAAGAACTGAATATCATTCCATTTTTTTCAAGCCAACTGGAGTAATCCTAAGAGTACTAATAGCTATTGGCTTTGGACTAAATAAATAACAGAGAGAGAATGAATTTTATCAGTGCTTAGGATATAATGACAAGAGGGTAGACCAGAAAGATACTTGATACACTCTCGACAGATTTAGGATTTTTCATATTGGCAAAGGAGGGCAGAAGCTTGATTATGTATATGATTGAAAGATACTCAGGAGACTTAAATGTGACTTAGGTTAACAATGCCTAGCTACTTAAAGATCGTAAAATAGTGGATGATATCATGGGTGCTAGAATCATGCCTGACTCTATAGATCAAATTTATGACGGAGTCTAGGCTGATATTATTGTATTAAGTTCAAATGGATAACTAATCAGCCAGCTTAGAGTTAGTCAAAAAAGAACGACGCTAATCTAAGAATGTGCAAATCTCAATAGGGATAAATTGCTCAAAATTCCAAGAGCTATCTCTCAATAAAAAGATCTTGATTTCCTAGGACCTAATGCACATTTATTTGAAAAGTCAGACCCAAGAGTTAAAATGCAAGTCAAGGTGCAAACATCTATGGACTTAGTAAACAGGTTCTTGAATCTAAGTCAATATAAGAAGTTAGCTGAGTTTGTGCTCATGAAAACCAGCGACAGGGAATAGGAATTTGTGTTTGATGAAATAGGCTCGCTTGAAGAAATAATGCAATCTAGAATTGATTCGTAAAGAGTTGATGATACTGCTGAGATCCTCAGTCATGTTAAGTACTACCAGGCTACATATTAGCCAAACTAAAAGATATCAATTCAATTTAAAAAGTAATCTTTGCAAGCTAATTTTTATATGATAGACTTGTTGAATAGGATATTGGAGTTCAGATTCTTAAGTTAGAAGGCTATCAAACTGTGTACAACGCAATGAGAAAAAGAGAGATTCAATAGCAGCAAGTTAACTCAATCAACAATAAAGTCTATGAGGAAAACTCTAAAATATACCTTTAATAGCTAAACAGATACATTATGTAAGATGCTCAAATCTAATAATTACCGAAATAGTGAGAAAATAGATAAGTAAAGCAACTTCTTCAAGTTGCTGCTGTTTATGGTGCAAAGTGAATACTTGCCTTCTATTTTCTAACTTGAATTAGATTCACCCTAGATCATTTAAAATCTGTAAAAGAGATTATTCTTCGAAGATAACTGCATTTCAGAATTAATAAAAGATGCTGCACCTGATCTCTTACAATGTAAAATATGAACTCTAATTTTTGAATAGTCTACCCATTCACATAAGTTGAACAGTACATCTCGTTATTTGACTAATCAGTTTTGCCAGTCAAGCCACTAGCTATTATTTACTATCACCTTCTAGAACTGGTTGATATCAACAGAGATTCAGATTATGCTATACCTACATTCCTACCCTATTTCAGACAAACTTTGTAAAGACTACTACCGCAAAAAGTTTAAAATGAAGTTGAAGCACTTTGGAACTTAGATCACTTAGATCTAAGCCATTTATTCCTCAATCATAATCAATTATGTGCTGATGCAATAGCTAAACTTTTAAGAGGAAGAACCTTTGCTGATCTTGATTATTTAGTACTTAAAAAGCTTATATCCTCTAATATTCATCAATATACTTAAGCTATGGCTTTCATCAATTAGGGAGGTTGCTAATCCCCCAGTTAACTTAGAGATCCAGAGGTCTTGAAACTTATTGTTGGACTGTTTATTCAATAATCAAAACACTCACTAGCTATCGATTTCCTGAAGAATAATGAGGATAAGTTAAGAGAGTAGCCATTTAGACAATCTATGTATCAGATTATTGAATCTTTAATAAAAACTAATCAACTTGAAAATGGTCTATATAAGTAATCACTCTCAGAAAAGTAAAAGCGCATTGCCTTAGAGTATTTAAGTCAAAATCACAAAGATCTGGTGTTCTCTTATAAAGTATTCTAAAGGTAGGTCGTTGGTGCTTTATCCAATGAACTTAAATTTGGCAATGAAGAGTCAAGCAGCTTCTATGATAAATAGACTCATATGACAGACGATTTGAAGAATTTACTATAAGTAAACTATCTTAGTGCCATTGGGCAAGAGAAGGTTCATGCAGTATATATGAAAACTGAACAGCCTGGTAGTTAAACTGAATTCTAGATTTAGCAAAAGATAAGTTAGTATAATGGCAATATGAGGATTAGTAAATCTGGCATGGGAACAAACTAGAATGGTAGAGCACTCAGACCTCCATTCATACCTTCTGGAGGTGCAAACCTTCATCTCGGTAGACTACATGAGTTAAAGTGCAAGTTCATGGCAGACCCGTTTTTCAAAGGACCAGCTGGAGAATTCGATCCATCTTTCAATAGATCCCCGGCAGACATGGCATCAGCTGTGGACAGCAATGACATTATGGATGTTGATGAAAATCAGAAGTTATAAGAGAATGATCAATCCTCAACTAATATAAACAGAGGTGCCTAAAAGGTGAAACTAGGACTGGGAATGCTAGATAAAAACTAGCCATTTATATATGTAGAGGATAAGTCTAAAAGAGATTTAATGAGATAACTGCCTATTTAGATTCCTGCTTATAACCCACAGGTTTAATTCAACTATCAAGCATAAAGAGACTCCATTTCACCTGAAAAATCAATGATTCATCAAATCAATCGATCATCCCACTCAAGATCATCTCCAAACAACTTTAGACAATCTCCTGATGGCCGAAATAGATCAATAGATGAAAATATAGTGATTCCAAATGAGCCAGACCTAATGCACCATCACTCAGGAAATAATGAGGATTTATTGAGAGACAATGCAGACTATGAACTTCTCCAACATTATGATGAGCTAGATGAAAATCAAAGGATTAGAGGTCTCCATACTATGTAGCAGAATTCTGCAAATCATGAAGGTACCCAGTATAGATAATCAGCTGGCAGTCATGGAATGCAAAACCAGTAATAGATGATGTATGAGCATTAGCAATAGCAATAGGAGTATTAATAGAGAGATAATAATAGTGCTAATGTGAAACAAGGTCCCAATAATCTATCGACTATTTAAGAGTCTTTGGGAGAGAGTTACATCTCAGGACCAGATGCTGAGTTGCAAAGAATGATGAGAAGCCCACTTATTAGTTAGCAGCACGCTTCCCATAGAAACTCAATCGACAATAGAAAAGTGAGCGAATTGCACAGATTCAATATTGATGATGCCTATATGGGTAGATCACAATCACTACAAAGAAGTGAGTATGAAGATGAGAACAACTTATTAATTTAAGAGATGTCAGAGAATCAAGAGGACTTCGCAGACTTTGACGAAAATGAAATAGATTTAATATCTGCTAATGAAACACCTGAGTAGAGAAACCAAAGAATTGTAAGTAAACGTTAGGTTTTAATACTTGATTTAGAACAATATTAGATAAAGGAGATATGCTGAAGAGGAGGCCAGAAGATAGAGAGGCTATCAAATGCAGGGTTAATCTCACATTGTAAGCAAATATTTTAGATTAACTGCGCTAATAAACATTCAATATAGTTAACAAGATCAGAGACTAAAAAGCTTAATCTGCAACCAGAGGACTTTGTTGAACTTACTCCAGGTGAAACTGCCTAAAAGCAGACTTTCTAAAGTGCTAGCAGATAGTAATGATAACATGATTATGACCGTGAAATTAACCACTTAGAATTTAATATTCAAATCTAATTAAAATCATTTATTCTTTAATCGCTATTTTCTGTGTATATATTTTAATTGAGGGGTTTTGGGGTTTTGGGGTTTTGGGGTTTTGGGG